TAGACACAAGTTGGTTTGTTTTCAGTATATCCAAAAATATCATCTAGTTGTCCAAAGTATTCCCAGCATTTCATTGTATATGCATTTCTGGGTTAAAAGTCAAAGTCATTTTAGCAAGGTTCCAGTAATTTGTGTAATTTTTGTTCCAGCTCTGTTTACTGGATAAACATTAAAACAGCACAAAGCAGTGCAAAACTGACATTTGCAGCCCACTTTCAAAGACATCAGCAGCTTATCTAGAAGTTGTAGATACCTAATGCAAAATACAGATACCTAGAAAACAGCTTGTGGCTGCTAAGCTGGCTTATGAGGCACCACACACTTCAGGCAACAAGGTCCATGCTGCCTAGCTGAACCAGCCCCCTAAACCAAACAAATACTCATTGTGCCCAGCCACAGCTGCTACACATGTGAAAACAAACACCCCCAAATCTCTGACAGAGTAAATGGATCATCTCCCTTCAGGTGTTAATGTGTAACATGGAGCCTTGTATAACACATTGGCTTTCTAAACCACATGGAACAGATCTTGTACTTTTCTACACAAATTCGACTGACCATATTGTGAAGCGTTCTTGCTTCATCATGTGCCTGAAGTTACTGAAACCCAGCAATAAGAGTAGTGGTAACTCTGTGTTTATCACAGAGCTCAGACTGCCCAGATCCATAATGGATATAACGTGAGAACAGTTGGAGTTGTAAAAAGAGGAGCAGTTTATACAGACAGGACTCCCTCCTTTATTACAAAAAAAATTCCTTCCATAATTTTAGCCTCCTGATCTATTTTTTCCTAACATAAACTATGTCCTACACCAAAGTCAGGGAAAGCACTGCTTCGCATAAAACACAGTTAACTTCCAGCCTAGAAGTTGGTGGCTTGCTATCGATTAGTGCATTTTTTCCATCACTAGGCCTGAAGCAATGCATTGACCTCAAAGTGCTCTGACATGCTAACAAAACAAAGGAACAGCTATAAATGTGAGCCAAAGTTTGTATCAATTAATATACTTATCTTCTGGTATGCTTAAAAAGGCAGAAGATTTGAGCTCCAAAAGGTTTCAGCTTCTGCAGAATTGTTTAACCATCTTATACAACCCTTACAGGCCTGCTTTCCAAAAGCTCCAAAATCCTGTACGCAACAATATCCAGAAAACGCAAGAGGGGCAGCAGAATCAATACGTATTCAGAGGAAAAAGGAAATGATGGCAGCCATTCCCTCTCACTGCACGCGAGGAAGCTCTGGTACAAATGAAGCAGGGAGGTACAAAAGGTACAGGCAGCCTAATGGATAGTCCAAGGGCTCTGCTGCCAGTCCAAGAAAGTGCTTTCTCCTCCTTCCCGCTGACAAACATGTTTAATATTAAACGCATGTACAGAGCAGAACTAGGCCCAAGATGTATAAAGAGCAGATGCCCGGAGTCCAAGGTATACACCAGTCTCTCGGAGCACAGACGGCGTTCATTCCCCAAGCGACATGCAGATCAGGCCTTTTGGCAGGACTGTGAATAGGACATTCAAAGATTTAGTACTAAAACTCTGCAAGAGACTAGCAGAGGAAAATACACATGCACCTTGCACAGTATAATTACCACCTCTATGCTTGTGAGAGCATGCACACACAGCTGAAAATGAAGTCAAGAGGTACATTTCTTTGGTGTAAGTATATGCAACACCTGCCTCATCTAGCATTACTGCCATCAGCTCAGAAAGCTAGAAAGTTGTCAGGAAAGTAACAGATTCAAGTGTGCTCCAACTGCCTTTATAGAGGCCAGCTACTTCAAACTAAACAACACAAGTCTATAAACTTGCAGTAATAAACTTACTCATACACGACTTTGACAAGGCAGCCTTAAAAAGTAAGTAGATCTTCTTGTACCAAGCCTAAAGGAGCGGCTGGCAACAGACACACCCTTATCTTTCAGATACATCTAACCAACTTATAGAGGTACTGCATTTCCGAGGTAATTCTGAGAGAAGTTTCAAACACAGAGGATGGATGATGTTTCTTTTTTCCCCCTGGTACACTGGCTTAATTTCCTGATTGCAATTCTTCGGTGTCAATTTCTATTTCCTTGGTGCCACCACGTGGCAAAAATATATATTACCATTTAACATGCAAAAGCCACTTCCGGTCCATTCTGAAGAGATGCCACACATTCTGCAATGGCTGTACACTGAAAGGCAATGTCACTTTGTATGGGTGTGTAAGCATATATGAACGCTGTGTTTCACTTTCAGATATTACAAAGGATAACTTATACAAAACAGTCTAAAAATAATCAATGGCAGAAGATCATAGGCGTTTTGTAATAATTGCACCATCCTTATCTTTGAAAGGAGCATGTTATTGTCCATGTGAAATACATAACCAGAGGTGTTTAAATAGCTGAAGTGATTAAGTTAAGGTTGGGGTTTTTTTATTGCAACAGAGTAAATATTCACATATCAGCACTGAACATATCACCCTCAAAGTAGCTAGATTAAAAAGCATGATACAGATAGTTATTTGTGGGTTTTTTGTTGGGTTTGGGTTGTTTGGGTTTTTTTTGTTTGTTTGTTTGTTTTTTTAATGTCCTCATAGATCCTGAGGAGGCATGTATTTTTAGGAAGGCGTTTGAATCAGGCCTGTCATTACAGAGAAGGACATCAATGCCTCCTTGCCAGCTTGCAGAAGCTCCAAAGAGAAAGGACAAGATGAGCTGGATTTAGCCAAATCTAGTGTAAGTGCCCCACAGAGGACAAACATTCATTTCCTTTCCACCTCCACAACCATGCAGGGTAACACAGAGAAAGAAGAGCTGACTGCTAAGAACCAGTCTGTGTACGTTTATGTTCCCAAGGGATAAGATGCCAGTTAAAAAGCAACTCACTCCTGTTATTCCCTTCCCCGTGCTGTACATATGCAATGCCAGGGACTGCACAGAAAAAGTTGCAGGTGCTGGCTATACACCTCTTCATCCATCAGGAACACCTCTACCCACACACATGCAGAGGTACCACCACTATAAATTTATTAATAACCCCCACTGTACTATCTGAGTGGCATCAGGAAAACAGGGCAGAATATCACACTTTTCTAAGACTCCTTGAATTTCTTCCTAGCCTGAAAAGCATGGATACCAGTGGGCGAGAAAAAAGGATTAGCAGTCATCTGAGGTAGCTGGATGAGCAGCTAGTCAACAGGAAAGAAGCAAAAGTCCTTAGAGGAAATGTTAGCAAATGTAAGTAAAAAGCTCAACCTACTCTAGTTTAACAAGTTATTACACATCAGTTGAGCAAGTCACCTACAACACGTGCAAGAATGGCCTTTCAAAACTTCAAGGTAAACATATTACCGTAAGTTTTACCACAGATTCAAAGCCAATATGTTTAATCACTGCCACAAGTCAAGTATGCATGCATAGTTACCACAGCCCAACTGATGTGCGATAGCCTGACTTGCGTTCATGCCCTAACAGTTTGCAACTGTTGAATAAAGAAAGCTTTTTGAAGCCGAACCTCAAACTGTCAGTTTGAAACTGCATCATGGCAGTCTTGCATCATGGCAAGACGACAGAAGTGGCTATGACGGAACAGGGTATTCTTCAGAAGACCATAACTGAATGGCATGCAAGTCTATGAGGAAGTGTATTAGTAAAGAAAGGATAGCTGGGCTCTCCAACAGAAGGATTGCCAGCACATTCAATATCAAGAATGAAAAGCATTTTGATAACACGGGCAAGGCAAGAAAGGATGCTATTGAAAAGCCGCAACAAGCAGCAAAGCAGTAACCCTACTGACATCACTGGGACTTGAAAGAGGTAGATTTACTTTTGCCAGGAAGTAAAAAGACACCTTAAGCAAAGGCTATATACATATCTTGGCCCACACCCCTGGTTTTTATCAGTAACCTATCCATTATTTTTTGCCAGGCCCCGTTAAAGCAGCTCAGCAGGTAAATTTCACTCCTAGAACTGTTCAGAGGGTCTGGACCACTGCTGTGCATCCTACTGAGATGCAGCAAAGGCTTCTGCTTGTATGTGCTTTCGTACATTAGCATTTAAGTTCAGCATAACTGAACTTAAGGAGCATAACTTAACATTAAAGAGCAGCATAATGCATCTGTGCTGTACACCGTCAAAGCCACAATTCTAATCTTACTCATTTGACCTGTGTGGGACAGAAGCACAATACACAGACCCTGAATGCACTCCAGGAAAGAACAAATCTTTTCCTGTGCTTTATAGTTTTAAGCCATTGTTGGACAAAATGCAAATATATGAGGTTATCGCTCTAGATTCTCAAGAACTAGAGATGGAAAGGGAAAAAATTGTTCCCTGACTGACAAGGTGCAAGGAGACTCCACAGAAATTCCCATGTAGTTGCATCTGGCCAGTTAACAACAGCTTTTGCAGCATATATTGACACATCAAAGCCTTTTGAAAAAAAAATAATCCTGTTCTCCTCCAGCAGTGCAGGCATGTAAGTTTGTATGCATCCTTTAGCTAGAAAAGGAAAACAGTTTAGTGGAAGAAGCAAGAGGCTGTGAGCCAAGAATAGTTCTAATCCTGTTGTGACTGGGAAGTTAACCTGAAGTTAGCCTCTCCCCAGGCGTAAAATGGGGATAATTAATCCTCACTTAACCATGTAAATTAAATAAAGTTTCAACAGTGCTGCAAGTGCCACACATTAATTAATGGCTAGGTAAAAAAAAGAAAAGAGACAAAAGTGGAGCACTTCGCTACCTACCTGCAAGTCAGAGGTTGTGCCGCAATTTTAAAAGAGGAGATATTTGACACTTGGAAGATGAGACCCTAAATTACCATTCAGTCTTAGAGAGAAAGATTCCTCTCTCTCTCTCATATGCACAGCAGCTATCAAGCACATGAAAGCCAGGCACACATCATTCTGCATTTTATATCACCTGTTTGCAACACTGTAAGCTGATGTTAACTAAGGAAATGCCATAAAACAAATACCCATAACCAAAGGTAAGGCAAAAATGGCGGGAAGATCCATACCTTGAACACCTTCCAGAAGCAGATCAACCCCCTTTCTATAAAAGCTGAAGGCAGTTTCATAATCTTCCTCCTCCTCCTTCTTCAAGGCCAGTTTTATCAACTCGCCTGCTTTCTCCAAGTAATCTTGTTTGCCAGGCTTGGGTTTTAAGCTTCCAGTAAACAGACCATGGCTTTCCCTCTCTCCTTCAAGTTTGCTCCACTCCTGCTCAGGTGCCAGAGTGCTTTGTACTGGTGGTTCAGAAACAAGGCAAAGGCCAACAGCTCTACTGGGAGAACTTTGGTTGGATGCCATTCCATCATCTAACTCGGCAAGAGAGTCTACATCAACTGTCAGAGAGATCAGGTCGCTGTCACTGGAGAAGCCTGAAAGCACAGTCAGAAAGACATCCATTACTCTAGATTTCTCATATACCTTAGGAACCTCCAAAATTCTTTATCCCATCCAAAGATTTTAGCCATCTTCTCACTTACACAGCTTCCTGAGACTTTGTGCACAGAAATTCCCTGCATGTCAAGCTGTCTTAAAAATTATTACCTATAGGAACATGGTTTTTAAAGTTTGCTACAAACTCCACAGAGCAACTGGTCTTCATTTTAATACTGGGAATGAAGACACCAACATCTAACCCCCAACTTAAACTTTCAAAGCCTGCACACCGTTGGGCTCCAGGAAAATTACTCTGTGTGAGTACTATTAGAAAAGTCAATCAGCAGGAGTCAGATTCCTGTTGCAAGAAATCCCAATGTACTGTTTTAAATCAGTAAGATGAAGCATCCCAAAACCAGTAAATTAGGAGTTTGAATTAACACAGAGTTACTGTCAACTTACACATCAAGCAGCACTCTAACTCACATCTACCATGTATGCTCTTCTTTCATTGCTAACACATGGTAAAATGAATTAGCTTACAACTCCCTCACTGAAATTTGAGCTAACACATTTCATTTTACATTTGCCATAAGCTAAAAGCACATATACTTACTGCAAGCTGACCTTCAGCAACTAAACCACAGCAACTTAGCAGGGTTATTTGGAAATAAATGGCAACAAAGGTATTTTACACGTACACCATTTCATTCTGTAAGGATTATCATCCATGAAAAGTCTTCACTCATAATTGTGACTTTCTAATAATTTAGATTCCACAAATGTAATGGAAACAACCTCTAGATCTCACCTCCGCATTCCGATTGGCTCGTAAGTGTCACATCATCAAGCCCACTTAAATCCTTTCGAACTGAAAAGGACAAGAATGACAAAAATGTATCTGACATCCTTTTGTACAACAGATGTTCACTTGCCATCAAAACGAAAGGGCGTAACCCTACTACAGGTAAAAGTACATAATACGAAAGTGCTCTTTGACTGGCTATCAGAGACATCCATTTGGTAATACACCATTAAAATTGTGACAGTGGTATTAGATTTGCCATTTCTCATTGCCTCTGAGGTTAAAAAACAAAACACAGGTGCTTGCTTGGGGGGGGCTAATTCAAACCTCAGCACTCCAACTCACCTAATTTCAATAGCAGCAGCATTTTAATCCCTATCTCTCACTGCTCTAGTGATTTACAGCTAAGGAGACTTAAAACAGGAGAGCCTTCAAAGCTGGGACCTACACACCAAGGCAAAAAAAAAAAAAAAAAAGCCAGCTTTCAGTCTCAAAAATGTCACGCCAGAATAGTACTCTGCATGAGACATATGGAGTGAGCCACAAATTTGGCAGTGCCACCTGGATATCAAGTAGCAGTTTGTTTCATCACTTTGGCACATGTACCCACTGAGGCAATAAAACAGGCAACAAGGTCAAGACATTTAGCTGTTTGAACATACAGAGAAAGTAAATTCTGAGGTAAAACCTGGTGTCTGTTTTCTTTTGTATTATCAACAGAGTGAAGAGTTTATCCACATTATCAGGTAAAGTGTTCCGATTTACCTGCAAAAAGCATGTGGCAGCAGCAAGGAGCTGACTCAAAAGGCAACTAACTCAAACTTTTTTTTCGATTTTGCAACTGTAGAGTTAGAGGAAGTTTACAATTTATGGAAGAGGAGTAAGAAGGCGCTGTAGAAATGCTGCTTTTCTAAAAGCTAGCAGTTCCTGATCTTTTCAGGGGAGGGGCATAGGGCAAAGTGTCCATGAAGAGAAGAAAACTGCCTGTGTAGCCCCAAGTCCTGCAAGAAAGAAGGCAACCTCACAACATAACAATTGGAGGAAGACAGAGGATTCATTAATTAGTGTATTAATAAAGGGCCATTCACCTGCCCAATATAGGGTCAGCAATGTCAAATTTGGGTGCAGAGGACAGAATTTATGAAACAACACTTAGAGGAGTCGAGTTATTTTGTTCAGCGAAGAGAAATTGCTAGCTAGGGAACGTATAGGTGGAAGCAGAGCTGACTGATGGACCAAGGGTGCAGACAACGAATGGAAAAGCTGGGGGTTTGTGGGAAGGGTGTGCTGGCCACCCACGCTAGATGAATTAGAGCACATCCACGTAGCAGATTTCAGACAGGCCTAAGTTCCCTTCCCTACAGTCCAAACAAAACCACGTTTGCTCTTCTCTTGCAGGCAACTTGACCAAAAGCCATATGAACACAGCTAGCACGTCGCAGACCCTGAGCTAATAAACTTGGCTTAAGGGCAGGTTTAGAGCCCAGCTCTGGCCCCACACAACCACAGTCATGGGGCTTACAATCAGCCCGAGGAGTAGGAAGAGTCTGAACTGCTTATGCTTATTTCTGCGAAGATAATGTGAACATGGTAAAACAGAAGAAGGGGGAAAAAAAGAATGGGAAAAAAAAAAAAAAAAAAGATTAGCTTCCCAGTGAATTTCTCTAAAGAATTTGGCAATTGGTATAGAAAGACTTTTGGAGAGGAAGTTGGATGTATGAACAGTATCCCATGTACCCAGAGAGGAAGACAGAGTAAGGAATATTAGATGAGTATAATGAGGCCGAAATTGAACATAAATTCCTATACTTGTCTCTGCCTTGTGCAATTTCACCAGGTATATGAGGATGAAACGCAGTTTCCAAAAATTGGTTGAAAGTCTGGGTAACCTGGCCTCTTGAAAAGCAGACTCCTGTGAAAGCATGAACTGCCAAACTGCTTTTACAAGCAAGATACTTATCACTTATTTTGGTACAAAAACATTTCTACTACCATCAATTTGCATCTTCTACCATAACATGCACACCTTCTGCAGAGTGAACTTCGTCTGAGAAGAACAGATAAAAGTGAGAAAACACAACCCGCCCTTATAAGCAAACACCAGCACCTGTTAAGGAATGGGTTTGATACTCTCAGTACAACAGCTTGAGAGGAGCAGTGCCCACGCGGACGCTCTTGAATGTTCACAAAAACTAACACAGTGAACAAGTCACAGTTAACTACGATAATCAGACTGGGAAAAATTAGTTGCAGGCAGGATGCCCTGAAGAGAGGCAGGGGAGAGGACTCGGAGCCGAGTATTGCCACTGCCATCTAGAGGCCTTAAAGACAGATGTTTCCTTCTGTCCCTACACCCTCCCCTGCCCAAAATTTGGTTTAGAAAATAAGAAAATATGAGCTGGAAGACACATAGGTTTTTAGAAAAAGATAACTCCACAAAAGTCACATTTAGCATCTGGAAATCTTGTGCTCATAGTTGTTGAAAGTATCCCCTAAAAGCACTCCAGCCAATTCAGAGGAAGGGCATCAAAGAATTTTTCTACTTTGCAGCACTTTTTTTTTTTCTTTTCAGTATTTTATCTCACATAAAGGAAGTGTTTTTCTTCTTCTAAAAATGAGGCCCTTGTGAATAAAGAATAGAAATGTTCACGTTACACATTTTTAGAAGCACTTTTTCTTTTATAAGGCCCATTGTAAATTGGGTGCCTTGTCAAAATCTGGAATGTTAAATTTCACAGAAACGGTGCCCCTTTAAAACCAGTTACCCCTACTTATGATAACTACCCTCTGTAATTAAACAGCTCTATACCCTCCCTTCACAGAACAAAGTATCGCGGCTGCATTAGTTCATTAACATCACAGAGTGTACTACAAAATAAATTGCAAAACTCACTGCACATGTAGAATGTATAATACAACTGAGTGCTTAGTTATTGTCATTGAGAGATCCTAGTGGGAAGTCACACAACCTCAAGCAAAAAATAAACAAATGAACCACTATTAGAAAACACAAGCAGTTCTTGTTATTCAAGCAGAGTTTTAACAAAGTTCTACACCAGAGAGAGAGCAGAGGAAATTAAGTCGTTAAGGAAAAAAAAAAACCCTCCCAAATAAGCTTTACAAGTGTTTGTATAATATTGCATATTTATACATCAGTGTAAAACAGTTCCAAAGGAAAATCTTAAGGGTTGGAAAATAATTTCTTAGAAGTCACAAGGACCCAAACATAACTCAGAAATACATAAGTATCTAAACGATTGCATGGTACTTGGCAGATGCTTAGAAGCAGAGATGCTTAAACTAGCCCAGCCTCCAGAAGCAGGCAAGAAGCCGTAGCACAGTATTTATTTGGGCTGACTGACCCTACCTTACAGCTATACTATTTAGTGCAAGTGAAGTGCCACAAATTACCCTGTATCTGGTATCCAAGCCAGCACGTGCATCTCTACAGCATGCTAAAGAAATGCAGTCTTAGGAAAAGGGACACACCCTCCACTGGCAAGCACAACCAGAAAATATTAGCAAGCTAAGGGAGGGATTTCCAATTTTCAACTAAGCATAGCCCACACTGGCTCTAACACACAACACCTCAGACTTTCAAGAATAGGGAGTTCTTTTCAGGAAAAGAAAAAAATGCTGACAGTTTGTGTAAGAGACTTAAACAACTCACTTATCTCCCCGAGCCCTGCAGTAAGCTTTAACATTCCCCACTCCCATATGCTCAATCCAGAAGACATATTTAAACTTCTAAAATACGGTATCGACTCTCTTCTGGATTTTGCTAAGCACTAAAAGAATGATGACACCCAGGGCACGAACAGCTGAATGAGAACCCTCTGAAATAAATCTTAAAATCAAATCTTAGACATAATTTCAAATCTTAGACATATTTTTCATGCTCTAGGCAAATTCAAGCAGTCATCTTTGTATTTATTGATCAATCACAAAATGGTTTTAAAGTTCTTGGCAAATTTTTGCAGCTAGAGACTTGGGTCATAGTAAGTTGCGAACACTAACACACTGCCCAATCTTTTGGAAGCAGGCAGGGTTACGCACATTTAAACCAGAGGGGACAGTCCAGTGAGCACCAAAAGCAGTTCTTTTTGAGCGATAGAGCACTAGGACTTCTTGAACGCACTAGACAAACTCCCAGAAAATTTCCTGTTAGAAGCAAACTTCCAGCAGTGCAGAGAGAGCTGAGAGATCACTGAGCCTAACTTCTCTTCTGTTAATCCCAGCTCCGCCATTTCTGTCATACCAAGCAAACAGAAACTGGATGCCAACACTCCTACAAATATGGCACTCGTCATTTATGTGCTGCTTTAAAACAGATCATGCTATAAGGTTACGTGAGAAAAGAAAGCAAACCTTCAGAGCTGCAGTCAGACAGGTTGTCTGTCAGAGGGTCAGACAGAGGCTCAACAGGACCAATCAGTTCAGACCCATCATGCACCTCTCCACCCTGAAAAGAAAGAGGGAAAGGAATTATTTAGCTGCTGTGCTCTATGAAAAGTCTCATTATATAGAAGTGATAGTCAAAATTAAATTTCCTAACCAGTGAATGCTCCATTACTTTAGAGTTAATGCATTTAATTAAACTATACAAGCCTGCAAAATTAAACAAGGACTTTTGGTTAGGCCACGTTCGGTTGCCACAGGCTGTCTAGGTACCTAAACAGTTAGCCTACTGCAGCTTCAGAGTCCTGAACCATACAGGCTGCAGCAGGTCTGCCTACAAACCCCAGAGTTTAACAGGGAGAGAACAGCGATTCTCCAGCTCTCTTGTGGTACACACAGTCTGTGCCCTGCAGGGGTACTCCCTAGCTCAGCAGCTCCCTCATGCAGGAGTGTTTGTCCATCAGACTAATGTCCCACCCATGACCCACCATCTTGACTTCAGTCATAGTCAAGACTGGACAAACAGGGAAGATAAGGCCAGACCAGAATATAAAGAGGCCATTATTCTCTCCCAAGCCTGGAAGAAATCAAAGGTAAATGAAGTAACAACAGGAAAAATGAATTGCACTAGAAACCATCTAAATGTTTTGGTTTGGTTTTTTGTTTGTTTTGGTTTTTTTTAATTTCTGCTTCGCATCTCAGGTGCACGCTTTCCATGCAACTTTAATAGAAACTGCATCATCTCCAAGGCAGTGTTACAAATGGACATTGCTAATCCATCCTGAACTAGCCCAGTGAATTTTCACACTAGCCAGCCCATTTTTGTGGAGTCTATAGTACATAAATACACACAGTACTCCCTTCAGCTGTTTCTAAGACCTCATTGTCCAAGTCTCTCTCTCCATGGCTATTTGTACAAAAATCTGAAAAGGAACAAAACCACACGTGAGCAGAGCTAAAGGACACTGGCTGAGCTGGTGACTGATCAAAATCTAAGGCCTTCTTACAGGAAAACATGACCCATCTGCTAACAAATGAGCCTAAATTATTACACTTGCATAACTGCCCTTGTAGACATACTTGCTCCTATAAAAATTAATGCCTTTCTAGTTTTATTCATTGCCTTACAAAGCCAGAAAAGGTCCACTGGAAGGCTAAAACTAATTTTGTTAAGCAAAGGAGAGGAAAAGAGCTCTGAACAAATACCCCAAAACACAAAAGTATTTCCAAAGAACTGAAAAAAAAACAAATGCAAATAAACTGAAAAGTGAAATATTCTAACTCAGTCTCCCATTCATTGTTGCCACCAAAGCTTAAAGAAAATTATTTTAAGTATTTTAAAGGGCTCTGCAATAACTGCATCATGAAAACAAGTGAAGATTTTTAAGCTTCGCTGTAATTTTGCTTTTGCATACGTATCATTTAAATATACTTAACACATCAATACATTTAAGTCCCATCTCAGCCCGATGAGCATTTCCTTAATTCCAGGGAGTTACTGTCATGTTTACATGTAAATTTATGCTCATGTGTTTGCAGAATGTTGACCTAAACTACTGAAAACAAAGCAGTTTGAGGGAACTATTGAAAACAAACTGCTTCAGACATAATAAAGAGGAAGTCCGGATCAACGTATTGTCCTAAACTACGTTTTGGAGACTAGTTTTCACAACACTGTACAAGCAGCACATTTGACTAGTTATATGCCAAATTTGTTGTCACAGACCTGAATCCATAACAGGCCATAAGAAAACAGTCTAGACATTCTTCCTTCCTTTGGTTTGAAACTGTAAACACCTACATAAAATATAGAAACAGTGACAATATTTTTATTACTTCCCCACTGAATACCTGGATTTAGTATCATGGGTTTTGCTCATCATTCAATAAAAAAAATTCCAAATCCCTTCACCTGAAGTTCCTGTAAAACTTTCCACTTTGTAGAGGTGTGGCATGGGGTTTTTTTTAAGCCACATTTCTAGAGTGAATGAAAACTCCCAGTCACTTCACAAAGCATGTCAGATCAGCTCACTGTCACTCCGCAGTTTATAATGTAAAGCAGAATCAGCACTATACTTTATTCATATCAATAAGAAGCAAATACTTCTGCAAATACTAACAAACCTTAAAAAACTCTTCAAGCTGTTTGCTGTTATAGAGAGCAGGGATATTAGCAGAAAACTGCAACAGATCTTCAGCACATTGCCTTCTTTCTTCAATCACAGTTTCATCAAATCGCCCTGGAACAGACACACAAATTGACAGCTTTAGAAACAACTACACATTTATTCTGCAATAATAACCACCAGGAAAAAAAAAAAAAAAAAAAAAAGACAAAAGCAACCTTCTGGAGACAATGCCCTGAGTCTATGAAAGTCATTCCAATGCTTCAGGAGAACATAGCAAATCTTCAAACTTTCTATTCTCAATTGTCCCTAGAGTCCCGTCTTCTGCAGTCCACTCAGATGATGAAAGCTGGCAGCTACGACAAGAATCCTTCGCCCTCTCATTGTAAGAATATGTGAGGCAACACTCTTGATTAGCCAAGAGACACTAACGGATGTCCAGTGTTATCTAACAATAAATGATACATGCACAATTTGACAATATGCCAGTCAGTGTCAGCCTTGATTATGGCCCCAATCCTGTACGGAGCTGAGCATTCTTCGCATAGTCTCAAGAACAACGCACAATATGAGCGGATAGTAAACGAAGTATTGCTAAAAGACCCCAAACAGATCAGCAATTCCAAGGTGCCATTTATGGAGGAGACAGAGTATAGGGGAGATGGTGAAGCCCTGCTACCAGGCACTGAAGCTTTCCTCTGAAGTAGCTCCATGCAGACAGGGTCTCATCTCCTCCTGGATTCAAGAGGTAAGCAGAGCTGGGAAGCAGCTCATTTACCAGAACATATGATCCTTCCCTTTTCCCTACCCAGCACCCAAGACATTCCAATTAGAAAAAACTTATTTAAAAAATAATCCCACAGCTCACCTGAGAGATTTGCTTCTCAGGAGAAAGAACCCTTGGATTGCTACCTTAAATTCACATTCTTCACAATTGCACACAACTTCTTTTAGCTTTTCATATCAACATCACTTTGTTGTTGAAATAGTTACAAGTTTACAAAAGGAAAAGAGCAGAGGTTAACAGTAATAATTGGAGGAGAATGGAACAGATACTGGAACAGCTATACAGAGGGAAAAAAAGGACTGGGAAGACAAGCTCAAGAAACAGTGTTGCTATAACAGCATGACCAGAAAAATAAGAACCACCTGTGACAGCTCTGTGGCATTAACCTTTGAAGAGGACAAAAGAAACATTGACTACAGAAGCAAAATTCATTTATACTCAGAGCAAGCAAAAACATAATCCCAGAAGAAAGTATCAAAGCAGGATTCTTTCCAGAAATTCTTCGGGTAAATAGCTCCTGCCCATGTGGTACCAGAAAAAAGAAAATAAAACTAGAAAGACACACACATACTCACAAGATCACAAACAAAGCTTTTGGGGGTTATTCTTCCATGAAAGGAAAGGAAAGACATTGTTGGGCTAATTTTCAGCTGGATCGGTTCCGTGACTTGTTCACCCTGCCCTTTCAGCTGTACAAACATTAGCAGCCGCACAAAAGAGCGAGCAACAAGCAAGCAGAAAGGCGGCAAAGGCAATGCTACCACGTTGAGTGGCAACACTGAAATCAGGCTCTATTAAACTCTTCATCAAACTTCCTACGTCTTCAGAGCAACACTGTGGGTGCATTAGGGTTTTTGTTTCATTCCACACGAAATAGGACATCATAAAAAACAACTTCCCTCAGTAAAGCACAGCAGCATGGGCCAATTAAATCAATCTGGAAAATAACACGAACGCTATTATAACGAACCAGAAAATCAGTTGCAAAGTAAACACCAAACAAGGCCAGAAACAGGTAACTCCTGCAAGCAAGTAATTCTATAAGATATTTTTCCTGGTTTCCCAGGGATCTCCCTCTCCCCAATCTACTCTCTCATCAAATCCAATAAAAACTAATTTTCCTCTTCCACATCTTCTCAGTACTTCCACTGGGCACCAGACAGGACACGTCAGGACCAGCGCTGCCAGGCTGACCAGCATGCATTCACCAGTTGTCCAGGCAGCTGCAAACCTCACAGGTATGAGCTGAGCCTGCCTGGCCCTTGGTAGCCCCACAGCACACACTCTCTTCTTACTCAGCTGCCGTTTCACAGACTCTGCAGAAATGCAATTACATTTGCAACCGCCTTCCCTCTCAAATTTAGCTGATATTAGCCACATGAGTAAGAGGCTTGACTTTCTGACAACACAATTACATAAGCCTTACTTTCTTAGGAAGCTGGGCTAAAAAAAAAAAAAAAAAGTTAAAATACATGTTTGAACAGAGCCATTGAAACGTTAGTCACTGTCACATTTTCCAGCTCATCAGCATCATGATACACTATCAGGACAATCACTTACAGAACTAGAGGGCTTTGGGGGAAGGAAGAACATAATTCAGTACTGGTTTGTTCAGAGACTATTTGGCATCTTGCTGGCGGTTTCATTCCCAGCCAACCCTGCCTAACTCCTTCCCCGTCTCCCTTTTTTCATACTTTCAAGCAATCTTATATTGCTCAACACTTTCATTATCACCTTTCTCAATCAGATGTTCAAAGCTGCTTAGATACCCAGCTGACTCTTCAAAAATGTCTATCAGGAAGTCTTCCTGCATCTAAATCAATGTTATTTCCACTATTCTTTACATCTCAGACACACGGAAACTTCGTTACAGGGATCATGTCTTTCCAGGGCTGCAGGAAGCGTCAGCTACAATCTTAGCATATAACAAATGCATTAGCACAGTTCTGCTATTCCTCCAGCAATGATTCATTCAGCATTTCTTACATACAAGGAAGCCAAATGTAAATTCCTGTAAAGAGAATCCGCAATCCATTTCTTGGAGCAGATCTGAACAACAAAACACCTAGCAAGGTTTGTGTTCATGTTTCAGTTAGTTTCTCACAACACTTCCAACTGTACCTGACATCTAATTCTTAAATATGCTACTTCATTTGGTGTTCTCAAATCCAAAAAATATTCTTATCTGAGCTTTATAATGTCAATCAGCTTTCTGACTCACTGCTAGCAAGTTACCAATATCTGGGTTTTTTTGGTTTCTTTTCAATCGGGAGGGTGAGTATTTTTTACACTAGAGTACATTTCTACAGTTGTTAGATAAAGAAATGCTGAGTACAGATTTACCAGTATTTTGGTAAAATGCCATGTATAGCCAACATATAGGAATACTTAAGGTGTCCAACAAAAAAATAGTTTGAAAATACTGAAGAAATTATGTTGATGCATACTATGGAAGGAGAGTAATCACTTCCCAGAAATAGGTATCATAATTGCTGCAGAACAATTCAGAGAAGCTTTAACAGCTGGATCTGTTAGCACATTTTAGATTCCCATGCTTGAGGCCATTATGTTTTCTCCATAAGATGGGTGGAAAAGGTTCAAGTGAAGTGCAGAAAACGTGAAATGATTTCTTTTTCCCACCCATAACAAGTTTCATGCTTTGATGTGAGCAGCTTTATTGTAACAGCATAAAAATACATGCACTTGCACATTATAATTATCAAAAGCTATGGTGTAAAACATGCAATGCATTTCAGTTCTGCAGATGTGGCAAGTCTTTGGTTGCATGAAATATGGAAGCACAGCATGACCCATTTGTTTTTAAATACATGTCAGTTCTCCACACCATCTCCTGGAACTCTGAATGCTGAACTTGAGATTCTGCTCAGGTTTAACACTCCTACTACAAGTAAGTTCGACTGTCAGAACCATCGATGCTCATTTTGCAAAATGTACTCTCCGCAAAACAATATGTATACGTTAAAGCACTCACATCCAAAAAAAAAAAAAATCAGCAAGTTGCCAGCAACTACTGGAAACACTAATTAGTAACTAGTTTAAAAGCTGCAACAAGTGGAACATCACCATAGGGAAGAAACACTGCAGAAATGTTCCATTAAAGCAGCTTGAAAACAAAAGATCTTAATAGAGATGGACCTTGCAGCTCACCATTAACTGAATGAGACTGAAAACAAGTTTGCCAAAAACTCAAAATCTACTAAAATTACATCTTCCCTCTAGTACAGAAAAATACTAGGACTGATCTGACAATAAATGCTTTAAATTAAAATAGAACAAACAGCAGCTATTATGTGTAGAAGCGAGATGGAAGAATACACAGTAAAATTTTATGCTTTAAATAGAAAAATAATTCTTAAATTGAAGAGTCAGACATTTCTGTTCCTTTCAGCTATGTTTAAAATTTGTTTTTACATTACCTCCTCTTTCCTGTATTCTTCTGTGGCTCAGCTGCATTCAAATGTAGTGGGTTTTGGTTTGGTTTATTTTTAATTTCAAAGTGCTTTTTGTAAATAACTACATTGAATATTCCTGTAGATTTCCTTCTTTTACAATGTACATTGCAGCCACTTTTGTTCAGCAAATACAATAGAAGAAGGATGCCTTTCAGAAGGGGATTCCACTCAATTCTTCCCTTGCTTACAGAGCTAGTGTAAAAACAGCTAATTTACATTTCTGGCAATTTGAAATTATTTAAGATATTAGAAGCCCATACTCTCTTCTACTCTGATTTTCTTTTCTTTTTACCCCTCTCTTTTCTCCCCTGTGAATAGCTACCATATCTTCTACCCGAAATTAAATCGTGCTTTGCAAATATTAGCTTTTTAAATAACTTGTCCAGTGAGCACTCTACTCTGTAAATCAGATATAAAATCATCTCAGAATGAGACTAATACTACATTCTCTATTTAACCATTAGTGCACAAGTTCTGACATAGCACCGAAACTTACCCCGCTTCCAACTTCATAAATAAGCAAAAACAAAAAGCCATAAAAGTTGGAAACAATTTAGCTGATGTGAAAGACTAAACCAGGAATTTCACCCAGCTCTGTGCAGAGAACCTTGAAATTTGCATCAGAGTTCAGCTTCCTTGTATTACACTTAGCCAGTCCACACAACAAGGGGTTAAGTCAAAGGCTCCCCCAAAGCTGTAGGGGCAGTTCGAGCTTGGGTTATAAGCTAACTTCAACTTGTTCAAAGCTGTTTATGTTAGCATATTCTTTAAGGCCTCTCAGTGCCATGCCTACATGCAGTAGTCATCAAGAATAAACACAGTACCACTAGGTAGCAAAAATTACAAGTCTGTGGCAGTATTTGGTCCTGAAACACCATAAGGAAAATTTGTGCTTTCCAGGCTGAGGTTTTGCCCCCGGGGGAGTTTTATACAGTTTCACCAGCACTCAAGGCAAAGGAGGGCAGCCAGCAAATACTGCTACAGTACCATAACCCCGGGCAGTATTATAGTGCTGTCACAAAGTGGTGGAAAAAAGGCTGACTAAACAACCTCAATTTTGGCACTTTCCAAACTGACAGGCTTGACTACCCCAAAGTAATAGTAAATGTCAAAAAATCTCACGCCAAAAAGCATACTACAACAAAAAAGGATAATACAAAAAAAGCCCTAAAAATGTAGAAAACACACATAAAAAAATGCTAGGGCCCACAAGTGCAAAAAAAGCTTATGCTAAATGCATGCAAAAATGCTAAAACTGTTTTTTGCCCATTTTTCTATGTGTGGCATGTAGTCAACGCATGCCAAAAAACACCAAAAGCATACTGGACACTAAGACATGCTAAAACCGTGACGCAGGGAAAAAAAACCATGCACAAGCATGCAACAGATGTATGCCAAAACATGCAAAACGAACACTGGATGCTAAAACATGCTAATGTGCAACACGGGAAAAACATGGAAAAATATGCAGTAGATAGATGCATGCCCAACACCACTAAAACTGCTAAAAATGCTACATACAAAAAACCTGCAAAAACAGGCACTAGATGCATGCCAACACACAAAGATTGGCTGGATGCTAAAATGTGCACAACATGTGGAAAAAACATGCAAAAACATGCATGATAATGAACATGGAACACAGGCACAATGCATGGAAAATGTGCAAATACACACAAAAGCATGCACTACATGCATGCCAAAAAACACCAAACACGTTTTAGCATTTTTAGTGTTCAGCAAGAAATATGGAAAAAATACAAAAAAGCACATGGTAGCAGGATTAAAAAAAAAAAAGCCAAATCGATGCTGGATGCTAGAAACACTTAAAAGCACGTCATAGATTCACACCAAAAAAAATGCCTTAAGTGTGCTGTGTTTAAAAACCCATCAAAACTTCTTAGAAATACTGTGGCAATGGAAAACAGCACTGCAGCAACGCCTCAGAAACTGACAAAAAATTTAAAAAAGGTGCAAAAGCCTTGGCAAAAAAAAGAGTGCATGGGAGATGCATGCCAAAACACACCAAACATGCTGGGCACTCAAAACATCATCACAGCAATGCCAAATGTGCCATGGCAACGCTTTAGGAACCAAAACCCACACCAAGAAACCCATGCAAAATCCACACCAGAAACCTTGCCAAGAAGAGCAGCACATGGTAGATGCATTCAAAAAAATGCCAAACAGGCTGGACACTAAACACCAGGCAAGGGGTATACAAAGACCATAAACACAGGCTGGATGCTTAAAAACAAAAGAAACAAAACCAAATACCACACTAAAACAACTGGTAAACACCAGGGAAAGGCCTTAATAACCCCAAAATGCCTTAAGACACTGAAAAGCCCACCCAAAAACACCTTAGAAACTGAAAAGCCTGCCAAAAACTACATCAAAAAAAAGCACATAGTAGACTCGCACCAAAAAAATGCCAAACATGTTGGAAGCTTAAAACCCTGTTAAAATGCCCAATAATTGCAGGTGGTAGATGTATGCCAAAAAAACACCAAATATACTGGACACACAAAAAAAACACTGAATAACTCTTAAAAACCACTGAAAATCATGCAGTATATGCACACACACAAAAAAAAAAAAAACTACCAAAGCAATCCTGGACAGAAAGAACGCTGTAGCAACACCCCAGGAAACAAAACCACACCTAAAAATGCCCCAAATCCACACCAGAAACCTTGCCAAAAAAAAAGACCACTCAGTAGACGCATGCCAAATAACACCAAACGTGCTAGATGCTAACCACCATGCAAGGTGCATACAAAAACCCATAAACGCGGGCTGGATACTTAAACAAAAAAAACATGAAAACAACTTCTAAACTCCATGGAAATGCCTTAGTAACCCCCCAAAAAAACCCTCACAAACTGAAAAGCCCCCCCCCCAAAACATCTTAGAAACCAAAAAGCCTGCCAAAAACAATATCACAAAAGAGCATGTGGTAGATTCATGCCAAAAAAGGCCAAACATGTCAGATGCTTAAAAACCCATTAAAATGCCCAAATAATTGCATGTGGTAGATGCATACAAAGAAATGCCAAACATGTTGGACACTTAAAAACAAACACTAAAAAGCAGCACCAAATCTGTTCTGCACAGTTAGCAAGACCTTAGAAACACCTCAGAAACACTCAAAAAGCACACAGTAGATGCATGCCAAAAAAATGCCAAAACATGCTGGACATGTTAAAAAATGCTGAAAAATGCTTAAAATACCACCAAAAATCATGTGGTATATGCAGGAAAAAAAGCTACACCTAAGAAATGCTAGACACTAAAAAAACAAACAAACAAAAAACCCCATGCTGCAACACCACCTTAGGAACCAAAAACCATGCCAAAAAAAGCACAGAATTCACACCAGAAACCTTGCCAAAAAAGAAAGCACATGGTAGATGTTTGACAAAAAAAACACCAAACATGCTGGATGCTCAAAACCACACAAGGTACATACAAAAAAACCCTACCCGACCCCAAAAACACCCAAACAAACCAAACACACAGGCTGGATGCTTAAAAAAAAAAAAAACCAAAAACAAACCCAAACAACACTAAAACAACTTGTAAACCCATAGAAATGCCTTAATAACCCCAAAAATGCCTTAGAAACTGAAAAACCCACCAAAAGAGAGCACATGGTAGATGCACACGAAAAAGCACAAAACACATCCTGGACTGTCAGCAATGCCTTGGAAACACTCAAAAAACAAGTGGCAGATGCACACAAAAAAAGGCCAAATAAGCTGGACACTTGAACACCCACAGAAAACTGTGTGGTATATGCATGCCAAAAAAACACCAAAGAAATCCTGGACTCGAAAAACACCGCAGCCATGCCTTAGGAACCAAAAAACACAACAAAAAAATGCCCAACATCCACATCAGAAATCTTGCCAAAAAAAAAAAAAAAAAAAAAAAAAAAAAAAAGAGCACATGGGAGATGCATGCTAAAAACCACCAAACACCATGCTAGGTGCATAGCAGAAAAAAAAGCATAAAACACAGGCTGGATGCTTTAAAAAAAAAAAAAAAAAAAATACACTAGAACAACTCATAAATGCCATGGAAATGCCTTAGTAACCCAAAAGCACTTTAGAAACCAAAAAGCTCACCCAAAACCAAACCAAACCAAGACTGCATGGTAGATGCATGCAACGAAATGCCAAACACTTGTTGGACACCTAAAAAATTAAAATACTTGGAAAAAAGGCTCAAAAGCACATGGTAGATGCACACCAAAAAGCATCAAACCCATTCCGGACAGTTAGCAACGCCTTAGAAACACCTCAGGAACACTCACAAAGCACGTGGTAGACGCATGCAAAAAAGACGCCAAACATGCTGGACACATTAAAAAAACGCTGTAAAACGCTTAAAACTCCATTGGATATTGTATGATACATGCGCATCAAAAAAAACAGCAACAGTTTGTGCTAAACAGAAAGAACACGTGCAAAAAAAAAAAACAACAAAAAACAACAAAAAACCCACCACTAAAATAACTACAACACACTGCTAAAAAGAAGTGTGGTAGATGGAGTCCTGTATGGAGTCATACCACTTCACTGAAAGTCCACCTATAGCTCATTCATGATGACATATACATCGGGATTAAGACCTTTGGCTTTTAAGAGCTAATTACTTTTTGCCCTGTATTTCTCATGCAGAGTCACAATCCTCTTACAGGTTGTTCTGGTGAAATAGTGAACTGCTATATGTAAAACTGAACTCAAAAGCCTAGCTAGATAAAATTGATAATAACAATCAAATTCCTAAAATAAAAAATTATTTTCTGCAACAACCGCTTGATACTTTACTATAACTCATCACTAAAAATCACAGACAGCTCATATATAAAAACCTCTGTTCATTGTTCAAGTGCTGTTCACAAAGCTAATATAGACTTTATGCTCCTGAAAACAGGGAATGTACATTGTAAAGATACAGAATATATAAATCAATAAATATCTGAGGTAATATCTCTAACATGGGAGCAAGAATATAACTACCACTGTTAAAAAAATAAATAAAAGTACCAAGCTATACCAGCACACCTACAAGTAAGAACCAACAAACCAAAAAGCTGAGTAGTAAAAGCACATGGAAAAGAGTTCTATGCAGCTACAAAACAAGATGTATTTATAGGTACCAAGTTAGCAAAGAATTTCAGCAAGTCAGGAAGAAATTATGCTTACCAAATACTATCGCTTTGGCAAAAGGTGGGAAGAGTTCTGTATGTCTGCATAGGTTTTTATGAATTTGCCAGAGATCTTTGTGCAGTTTCTTAAAATCCCGGTATCTCTTCCAAACGACTATCTGAAGCAAAGAAAGGGGAGAGAAGTAGTAGTGAGGTTCATTGTTTTCATTGCATCACATCACAAATACATTTTTTTAAGCAAATCAGACCACTACCTTCAGCAAATGTGTTTAACAAAAATATACAATCTGAACTGCCAACTGTAACAACCATTTAAAAAAATGGTCATTATCTGTCCTCAACCCCCATTTTGACTAACAAGACTACAATGCGCAGAAAAAAAAAAATAAGTAAAAGCTGAAAGAAGGAAACAGAGAGGGCAAAGGCAGCACTGTTTCAGTCACACCGAGATCCAGAGCTACACAGGAAACCAGTAAGACAGGAAAAAATGCCAAATAAGTAGTGTTGCACTATCCAACACGCAACAGCATGCTGTGCTTGGTGCAGCTGCAGGTATGGGGAAGAGACACAACAGCAAAAGAGAAAACGAGGGAAGAGAAATCAACACAAGTAAGGGATTCTTAAGGACAGCACATTAAGCACCCAGGACTACAAACCAGCTCGTAATTTGTTCATGTAAAATGCTGATCCGGTGTAAATGCAAGCCCACATTTTAAATGGTTTATTACTAACAACCCTGATCAAAAATTTAATATGTTCCGTTTGTAATCTAGACAAAATCTCCAACTTCAGGAATGCAAAAAGAGCATTGGTTCATTACACCAGCTTTTCCTGACCCATCCTTTCCAGAAAGCAGCAGTCATCTACCAGCCAAGTTCCTCCCTTACCCTTCTTCCATCCCATTCTTTGAATTCTTTCCATTCAAGGAAGGAGGAGAACCCAATAGGAAAATCAGGCCAGGGAAAGAACTGAGCAATACAATTTACACTTGACTGCTAACAGGTTTGCTATCAGGATGAAAAAAAAGAACAAAGACATTTTATATCTTGGTCTCGTTTTTCGTCAGACTCAGTAAGCCACAGAATAAACCTCAACACTAATATAAAGTGATTAAAGTAGAACAGGGGGAAAAAAAAGAGAGACTGCAATGCATTCAGCAGTTGATTCCAGGGTTCCATCAGTCAAATGGCTCAAATAGCTTAATACAACTAACGACAATTTAAAAGATTCCAAGTATTTCTGACTGATTTCACAGGTTGCCTTCTCATGACCCGTCACAATTAAAAAAAACCTACTTTGTTCAGGCAAATCCAATTTAGAGCTAAGTAAAAGGTTTAATTTTAGAGGGGTGTTTTGTTGTTGTTGTTTTGTTGGGGTTTTGGAGGTTTTTTGGTTTGGTTTGGTTTTTTTAACACTAAGGTCAGAGGCTTTCTAAGTTTCAGCAGATGCAAGTCCTACCTACAGAACAATGCAGGTATGAGGTAACAGGACTGTTAACAGCGCTTATGCAAAGCTTAATATGGCAACATTCTATCCACCTTATAAAACTTAGCTATACTGAAACTAGCAGTACTGATTCAGACCCACCTATTGTGCACACATTGCCAGGACTCAATTACAACTAGTACTTGGTGGAGTTCAACAGACAAAGGAAGAAAAATCAGAATCTCTCAAGAAGGCCACGTAGTGATTTTGCTATCAGAATCAGTAATTTTTCCATGCTGTACTTCCGTCTAATTCAACATCCAGAAAGTAGATGATTAGCACTTCTTGAGCAGTGTGCATATAGAACATAAAATTGCTTAAGATGGTGAAGTCTTGAAAGATCAAGTTACTGTATTGTCAGTACTTGGAGACAATGTGAAGAGCTGCCAGAAAATAAGAGCATGAGATTCTGTTCCACTAAAAACGTATCATTTTTTACTGCTGCAAGTGATCTCTCAATAGCCAAGAGGAAAAAAATAACTAGCCATAAGCAGCTTGCATAGCAAAAGCAGTCAAGGTCATCCTAAAACCTTTCACAAGCTCACGGAAATCATGCCTTTGCATGCACGTGGCTCAGCAAAGTTAGCAAAGTTCCCACTCTAACGTACTCATTAGAAATCAGATTTGGAGGAAGCACACATTGTACTTTGAGGCCCAACAAAGCACAGCAAGTGGATCATAAAACATATGTCAGACTTGTAATACAATAAGGTGCTTGTCATGGCTAGAGCCAGTAGATGTCTATTAACTCATGCGACTCATCTGTTCCACAATGAACAACCCTTTCTCCTCCGTGAATGAGTAAGATAAAAAAATCTCACAAGATTACCCTAGCTACAATCGCCTCACATGCCATGTTGCCACCACCAATCCGCAGAAACAAGGAAATTAAAGTTAAGTCCGCTAGCCATTCTGTATCTATTAACTCCTCCACGCACAACTTCACAATAACTTTTTTCATCCTTTTGAGAAGAAAACCCTTACAAAGTTATCTTCCTTCCTGTCCCAGCAACAACAGCCGAGGATACCTTGAATTGGCTGCAGTGGGAGAGATGCTGTATTAAAGGCTTGTATCCCACAGGGCAGTTAAAAGAGGCGACAGAAAACTGGCAAGTAGAGCTGAGGTCACAGTACACAGTTGTACATATGTAATGTATGTATTAACATCACAGCTGTGGCATTAAAAGAGACTTCTGAAGGAGTAGGCAGGCACAGCTAATGGTCCTATATGGATACAGGAAGGGGGTTGCATGAGACGGATCATAAACCAACAGGGTGGTTGTGTGCACAAAATTTTGCCTATTGAATTTCTAATTGAGCATTTTGGATAACTGAGGTAAACTTATTTTCAGTGGGAACAGATTAGGAGCATGTTCTTCTTCTTTCAAAGGCTGCCCACAATTCTTTTTCTATCATAGGAAACCAGTATAACAAAAAAGCTCCCAACTTGCATGGGTTTATGACTACAATTCACCCTCACGGCAACTACCATCTAGGATGTTCCTTTTAATAACTAGGAACTTTCAGATGCTTGCTTATAATAGAATCACACCACACCTAACACGCTACCACGTGCAAAATAATTAATTTGATATAGTGAAGGGTGGAAAAGGGCAATCATCAACAAGTTCATAGAACATTTAAGTCTTCTTACGGACTAGAGTTTGTGGAATCCTGCACGGCTAACCTACCGCCACAGATCAAAGCAATGACCAAAGCAATGACTAAAAGATATGCTTTTGCTATTGTTTCAAAACTACATAACATATATTCATGCAATACTCTAGCTGAAGGACACTTACAATATATTTTTCTGATGAATGGTTCATCAACAGCTGCTATAAAGTGTTTTTCCCACAAATGAAGATTAAGGTAATGGCAGAATGTGCTCATGGATAGGTTCAATTCAGGAGTCTCCCTGGAAAAGGTGAACATCAAGCTACAAACTACAGTAATGCAGTTCTAAAACTAGATCCGTGATCATCTCTGATAGGCTATTTTAATCTTCTAGAGATTAAAAGAATGCAAAAAGCATGAATGCTCATGTTTGTCTGATTCTCAGGATTTCAAAGAAGGATGCAACAAAGGGGTGTTAGGTGTATTAGCCAATTCTCACCTCTGCCAAGCCACTAATCAGTAACTCATGTTTGACCACACAGAGATGCAATGAATTCATTTATGGGCTCTTCTTTCATCAACTATCCAGGTTCTCCTCAACTGTAGTAAGAGACTGCACCAGAAATTGAACATATGCATATGTTACACAATGTCTGAAAAGCCATAAGGTTGTGCTTTTGAAGGAAGATTTTGCATGTACATAGTATAATAGTATCAATGTCAATTGTCCAGAAGAAATCAAGAGGAAAAAAAATTCTCTAATCTAAAAAAAAAAAAAAAAAAAAAAAAAAAAAAAAAAAAAAAAAAAAAAAAAACAAAAAAACCACGAAAAAACCACCAAACCTACAACCCACACATGCATACCGTATTTCTTTGTCTCAATGAAATGGTTCCTGACAGTCTTTTGAGGTTTTAAAGAGGCACAAGAATACAGCAGACCCTTATTCAGAGCCTTGTCGGAAGAGGCAAAGAGTAAGCAACTTTAAAATTTTATCAAAGTATATCACTGGAAAATACTTAAGGAGCCTCAGAGAGATAGCCGTAATATATGACTTGCAGTCTAATCTCTCTCAACTACTCCTATGCTCCTCCATTTTCCCTCTTCACTAACAGACAGTAATGATGTAGGCTTTTCAGTGAAGTATTGGTTAAAGAGGAAAAGAGTACCCACAGCTGAGACCTAAGACTTGGATTGTAGACTGATCTCTAATTTTACCAGTAGGAGTTAGAGTAACCATCAATTTGCCAATTCCAGCCCTGAGAAAAGAGCTTGCAAAGTTATCAAAGCAGTTTTGTCATCAAAAGACACTTTACTCCCTAAGACTTTGTTTCAAGTCACGATTCATCACTGAGGGATGAATTGCAACATGTTACACTAGCTACTGTTTTCAACTATGAAAGCCAAATAGAAACATACAAACACCTGTTTGCTCAATTACAATAACAAAACACACAGAAATTGCTAAAGTACATCAAAGATGCTTCAAAAGGCATACTGTGATACACAAAGACATTTGCACAAGTTTAAACTGTTACCTCCTGGACATCCTCTGGATTTTTTCTTGAAACAATCTGAAAAGCAAAACAAAAAAACCATATGAGCACTTGGATTTTCAGTTTGGAAGTTAAAGAGTAACACACAATGATTTGCTGCCGAAGAGAAAAATCTGGAAAAAGGCAAATGGTTCCACATTCCTCTGTGCTCAGAGATGCTTTCATTTAGTTTTAGAGAAGTCTAATATCCAAATACAACACGGTGAGGTATTTTAGCAGCAGAGTCAGTCACTGTGATTAGAAATAAAGACGTACATTCTAGGCAGAATGGCACAGAAAGCATCTCACAAAGCAAAGCTACGTAGAGCACATCCCCCATCATCTTTCCAGTCTCTTCCTATTAATTCATATTACTCCCAATAAGCGGAGCTAATTAAGGCTACTTGGCTTAATATAAGCTGCACGCAACCTCACTGTAAATGTGAAGCTTTGCACTTACTAAGACAGTATTCCTACTTTACTTACAGCCATCAATGCGCACAAATGTCTGACTCTATCCTTGTGTATTTGTTTCTCCTTAAACACTCTTTGCCTAATTAATTATAAATGACTTTATCCAGAGGAAAATTGCAGTGAAAACGAGGCTTGGCTACACACCATAAAGAAGCCCGTATTTGGTCAGGATTTTTTTTTCTTTAAATAAATATTGATCGCAAAAGCCTTTGTAATCCAAGTTCTGTATTGGGCTTATAAATAGCAGTAAGAGCATATCCACACAAACAAACAAATCAAATCAAGACATCTTTAATTCATAACTGCAATTATCTTGTGCAAATCAGTATATCCTTCATTATAACTCAGCCAAAGCTGTTTAACAAAATAATTAGCCTATTGTTAGCTAAAGGAAAATAGGGCATTCTCAATCCGAACTGAGACTATCCACACACTGACACACCCCAGAATAATTAATGCTGTGAATAGGTGATGCATATAGGCAAGCGCGAGGAGTCCATGCTACTTGCACCCCAGAGACTAGAATACCATCCCGCTGTACGGCAAGCACCACGCAGCTGTTGCTCTAAGATGGAAGTCACTGAATCTACACCCTCCTCTTGCTAAGGGACAACAACATACCCCTCATGCTCCCCACAAACTAGCTCTCTTCCTCCCTTTCATTTTTCAAGAATCCTTGCCAAAGCCTCCCAGATTTCGTAACATCAGTTTACTACACAGACCAGCCACTGTAATCCTTCACACATTTTGGAGGAGACAGGACAGAAAAGAGAAGTGTTACCTTCTCTAGCAATCCCCCAAAAAGACCTACAACATTTTCCTTCACAAGTCTAAGTTCTTTCTCTCACCTCACACATCAAAGTCCTCTTCTTCCAGCGTAGTCTACATTGATAAAACCTTCCTCAACTTTTCCTCACTCTTGAGTAATCTAACGTTTGGCAACTTTACCAAATTTTAACCTTGGAGGCTGTTGCTCCTTCATTCACTACCAGACAGTTCAGATGTACAATTTGTAAAATATTTCTAACCTTCTTTTCTAATAGCTGGCGTACTTGATGCAAGGAGCCTGTAGAGCTGGGGGAAGAAGATATCATAGGCATGGCTACACATCACAGAAGAACACCAAAGGGCACACACCAACTGTTTCGCTTTGCAGTTCACCTTTAGTTAAAGCCTTGCAACAGTTTTGGCAGCTAGGTAAGTTACCAGATGGGCAGAAGGAGACCCAGAGAGATGAGTAATTACCCAGCCAGTTAGTAAGAATCTGGAATAAAACCCAGAGGCTCTGTTTCACACTTGTTCTAATGTTACATCGCCTTCTATATGTACCAGCCATGCCAACTTTAAGTCAGTACGCAGTAATTTATGTGTTGTCCTACTTTGTTCTTCATATCCTTTTCTGAAGGTCAACCTCAGAAGAGGTCTGCCCCTTCAATCCAACCTATAATCAACCTAGAGACTTGGCAAAGATGATCCAATCCCCCAAATTTTCAGTGCACTTTTTTAATTCCCCCACAAGGATCAATGCAGTCAGCTCCTTCTGTAAATCTATAATGCAAGCAACTTTAATCTATTTTTTAAAATATCATTAGGATACCCACGAATGAGCTAAGCAATGCATAATTACTGTGTTAGGCTCTGAAAACAGAGATCCTACATGGATCCTCACCATCAAAAAAAGTATTTCAGATTATCCTGTTCCTTGTCTGACCTGCAGATATCCAACAGAACTCATTAGGGTTTTAATTATCATTAATAATTGTAATCTTCTAAATTAGCTGACCTTTTATTAGCGGCCTATATTTTCAGATATCATTAAAGAACACTCCTAGTATCACAACTTGCCAATATCTCTTTCTGTTCTTTAGCCTTTGGAAATAGATACAAAAAAACCCCAATATTCATTTAATCTTGTCGGCACTTAAATTATTTACTTGTAAACTGTAAAATAAAATATATATTCTTTACTATACAAATATATTTTTTAAGAAAAATCTGCAATAAGGATAGACCCCCCCCTTAGCACTCAGAAGACACTGCATGAGTAGTTGTGCCTTTGAGTCAGATGTTTAGGCCACACTAAACAAGTGCTTTCTCATCCACGATTATTAATCTATCATTATATTGGAACAGAAAGTTCCTTTAACTTCATTTCACAAAGTATTCACTTATACACCACTGAAAGCAACCAGAAATCTCCACTAGCAGGTACTGAGTACCCTAGATCTCAGCCAGAAGGATATTCAATACAACAGGAAGATCCACCTCACTTTTTTCCTGGCAGGCCCCCAAAGTTGCTGAGCATCAGATCAGCAAGTACAGCTGTAGTGCTGTGATATCAACCATGGAGCCAGATCACTGCAGGAACAGGAGGGAGGAATAGGAGGAGAGAAAAAGGGAGGGTAAGAGATATGTACATTGAATTATTTTAAAATCATTTTGTTCAGCATCTAGCTCCCCAAATCCTCACTTCAAGTACTATGTAACAGATTACCGGATAGAGCCCCACTGAAACAGAATTTATTTATACTTCTACATTTGTAAATCCAAAGCATCCTTTGCTGCATAAAAGAGAAATATTTTTTCACTTTGAGGATTTTAGATATCAAAACACACTGAAGAACTAATGATCTCTGGTTTGCTCAGTTTAATTTGGACAGCTCACAGACTGATCAGCTCCTTGCTCTGTACTAAACCATGCGTAGTGAGCACACCGCCTGATTCTGCACTGCCTCGCTTGGGAAAGCACCAGAGCATCTACAAGTTATGGGACACGGAGAAAGAGTGACATTCCTCACTAGTTAGCCACTACTTGCTCTGGAACAATTCTGCATAAACCAAAATACCACAGAGCATTTTAACTCACTTCCGCCAGTAAGAACAAAGTCACCAGAATAAAATAAGCTGAAGTCTTGACTCATTCCTACTGCTCCCCATCGCACTGACACAACTTTTTAACACACACACACACACTTAGCCCATCATGAGCTACTGCAGGAAGACCTGAAGGCACTGTTTTCCTTGCATCTATCTCAGGAAAGGCTTTTTAGATTAAAATCTCATAGGGAATGAAAGACATCTTTTTTTTTCTTAAAAAATACATTATATTGGACTAAAAAGAATGGTTTAAACATGCCCCATATTTATGTTTGGTGGGCTTGTATACATATATTTGACAAAAAAAAAAAAATTTAATTTCCCAAGTCATGCAGTGATCATATTCGAACAACCTGAGAGCTATAATATATAAATATACACATACAGAACACTGTATTCTTTGAATTAAGGGAAGGGTGCATATAAATGTACATTGCTCTCACAGGCAGAACGTCTACAGCGGCAGTAACAACAAGATCACAGGTCACTGAAATAAACTCTGTCCCTCTGTGACACTTTCTGATGCTCTCACTATACCCCACCATACCTGTGACCTGAACTCCCACCCTCCTTGCACCTGTCTCCACCTATCTACTTACTGTCCCTCCCTCTTTCACTTAAATAGGAAAGTGGAGGAGAAAAGGAAGCAAGAAATTTCCCTAGGGGAACAGAAGG